AGTTGGCGGTGGGTGGTGATGACTAGCTGCCTTCCCTCTAGTCTTACACAACTAAATTAGGGACGGCTAGCGCAGATAGCCCTCGTGTAGCTTTGCGCGAAATTAAAAAAACAGTTATATTTATATAGACGACAGACAGTACTATTATATTTATATATATAACAGACAACAGACAGTACTACTATATTTATATAGATTTAATTCCATTTGGAACCTTGTTAACTTTTATGTCTTAGTTTGTGTTACAAGTAAAATTTTTCTTGGCTTTCAATTTTCTTTATGTTTTAGGTCTGTTCTTTACTACGCTGAGGATTCCCATAAGAAATCTTTCTCCTAGTTTTGTAGTGTAATAAGAAATTACTGGCTACTTAGTAATCACTGTACTTTGCTTGATAAAAGTTTGATACCACCAGGAAGTATTTTGTTTTGTAAAGTGAATCATCAGTAAACAAAACTGCACTGTTCTGCTCATTAGGTTTCAGTTTAAGTCTGTTGATCAACAGACTTTTCTTTACACACAGTTTATATTTCTTAAGTCATTAAAATAACATATATCTTAATTAAATGCTCTTCTGCGTGAACTGTTAACGACAGAGTGGTGGAATCAATAGAACGTAATGAAGGTTTTAGTAAATTTAAATTTATATATCACCTTAGAAGTTTTGAAAGCAGGCTTATACCTTAGAAATTACTATAATCAACATAAGGCTTAAAAACATACTTAAGTTCAACTTCAGGATGTGCATGATGATGTAACTTGAGTAAGTGGTTTCTAATCGTTTATTGTTGAATCTCTCAGTGTTAGTGGTGTGTTAACAACAAAACCATTGACAAACACATTAAAATCATATAAAGAACATTGTAATCACTTTTCATCTTTATGTAGTCATTTTTTTTTTATCCAGAGCTGATGAGGTCAAGGAACATCTCTTTTTCCAAGGTATGGACTGGCAGCTGGTGTACTTACAGAAATACTCCCCACCACTCATCCCACCTAGGGGGGAGGTGAATGCTGCAGATGCTTTCGATATTGGATCTTTTGACGAGGAGGATACAAGGGGAATCAAGGTGAATAGTAATAAGTAGAGTTATAGTTTACAGTGATTTATTGTGTTACTAATAGAAAATTGTCACACGCTGACATTCGTTTGTTTATCTTGGCTTCTGTTATGTCTAGGATATAGTTTTTTATAGAATATTATTCTGTTCTTTAACCTTTCACAGTTTTACCAGTTACTTATACTATATTACATTCTTAATTTAATGATTTCTCACAATAAACCTTTTCAGTTAAACGCTTGTTCATACAGTTTAGCTTCCGTTAAAAACCTGGGCTATTTCTGTTTTTACAAGTTTCAAACTGAAAGCTTTACACATTGTAGTTAAGGTTTTATTTAAAATATAAAGCAAGCCGTAGTTGAAAGGCCTAAAGCTTGAGCTAATGTGAAATTAGCATTATGTTAGTGTTGTATATCTTACATGGGCCTCATTTCAGCGGTTACTGTTACAATGATAAGCATTTTTTGTTTATGAAGAAATTACGTAATTTCATTTTATTATTTAAAAAAAATGATATACTGAGTTGTTTGCTGTTTATTTTTTCACTTATTGTTAGTTAACTGAAGCTGACCAAGAACTGTACAAAAATTTCCCTGTGGTCATCTCTGACCGATGGCAGCAAGAAATAAGTGAAACTGTATTTGATGCCATTAACCAGGAAGCAGACAAAATGGCACAGAAGAGAAAAGCCAAAATGAAGATGATCTTTGAAGATGAAAAAGGTTATTTGTTCTTTTGGCTCTTAAAAAGTATTATCGTACATTAATCAACAGATGTAGAAACGGTCAGTAAATAAACCAGATTTTCATGACAAGAAAAAAAAAGTTGGTGACATATTTTTCCTTATATCAAATTATTTATCTGATAACTATTGAAAAGAATTCAATTTTAAACATTGGCTGCTTTTGGCTTGTATAAAATGAATTATTGAATTTATTGAAAATTTGATTAGAATAATAAAAGAAAATAGAAAACAGTCATAATTTTATAAGGGCACAAGTTTGGAATAACTTATTTTAGCAGTATAGTGAAGCTTAATCAGTATTTTGACATCTCGCATAAAGGGATGGAGTTTTTTTTTTATCCTTTTCAGTTGATCAGTTTATAATTGCTACAGAGTATTTGGTAATACAACTTAATACTATTAAGTACTTGGTAATACAACTTAATACTATTAAGTACTTGGTAATACAACTTAATACTATTAAGTATTTGGTAATACAATTTAATACTATTGAGTACTTAGTAATACAACTTAATACTATTAAGTACTTGGTAATACAACTTAATACTATTAAGTACTTAGTAATACAACTTAATACTATTAAGTACTTGGTATTACAACTTAATACTATTAAGTACTTGGTAATACAACTTAATACTATTAAGTACTTGGTAATGCAACTTAATTATTACTTAACCTTATTTTTCAGACTGTACAAAACCTTTCAGGTGTCGATTGCACACCTACACATCAAATCTCAAAAATTAAGTAAAAATACTACTTCTAATTCTGTTTCAACAACTTTAAACTAAAACAAATTTTAGAATTGATAATACGCCATATTATAATACATATTTAGTATGATTTGCAAAGAAGATTGAAGAAAATACTCCAGCTTGTGTTGTTGCACGGCTCTAAGAGTCTCATCTATAAACAGTACGTTTCTATATTTATAAGCATTTGTTTGTTTGTTTCAAAATTTTATGCAAAGCTACATAAGGCCGGAAACAATTCTGCTCGGCACCTTGTGGCTGTAGATTTGTTTTAATGGTAATAGTCATATCCCACTATTCGATTAGAAATGGTGCCAAGCGATGTTGACTAACTGCCGTCCCTCTAGCCTATCAGTTGAAAATGAGGAGCAGCTAATACGGATACTCCTGGTGTAATTTTGCATAAATATCCAAAACAAAACAAAAAAAAACCTTCGGTTTCTTTATTTACTTTCAGAGTTAGTATCTACAACAGATAAGAAAACAACCTCATATATATATAATAAGTAACTATGCATAGTTTCTTAATTTACTCCCATAAAATAATTTGAAGTTGATTTCAATTGTGAAAGATATTTCAACTTCATTTTTAGTTTATATTGATTAAAAATATTTTGTTTTTTTACCTTTCTATTAATTTATACATTTCACGGCATTTTATTTGTTAGCTTTTTGATGTCACATTTTCAGACACTGTTCAAATAAATAAATTTTTTTCACGGCTTATTCCTACAATTTTGTTATTGTTCAGAGTCGGATTGCATCGTTCACGGCTTTATAAAAAAGCTTGGAGGACCATTTGTATCTGCATGGTTGACTCGATATGGCAAGCTCTACCCTAACAGACTGGAATTACATACAGAATCAGGGAACACTAAGCCAGAGGTGGGTTAATTGTATTACTATCACATTGTCATATCTGTATAACTTGCTAATTTTGAAAGATATTTTCTTTTCCACCATTATTATTGTTACAAATGTTGTTGTTGGTTTTCACAAAACTTGAAAGAAAAGTTTAGCCGTAAGGTTTAATTATAAGAATTTTGAGAAAATAGATTTAGGGTTAAAAGAAGAATTAGTTGTCAGCACAAATATTTATCAAAGCAAATGTAGCTGAAGTATTAAAATACATTTAAAGAAATAATCAAATGTTGAAAGATGATTTATCTCTTAATGAGATTTTTAGCTTTGTGCTTAGTTACAGAAGTTATAAGTCGTGTTTCATAGCATGTAAAGATTCAAAGTTATATCTGTTCTGAAGTTTCCTTTGTGTATTTAACGTGCTTCAGGAGATTTTAAGCTTTGCGATTAGTTGTAGAAGTTATAAGTCTTGTTTCATAGCACTTGAAAGATTGAAACTTAGTCTATTCAGAAGTTTGGTTTGTGTGTTATATCTGTTCTGAAGTTTCCTTTGTGTATTTAACGTGCTTCGGGAGATTTTAAGCTTTGCGATTAGTTGTAGAAGTTATAAGTCATGTTTCATAACACTTGAAAGATTGAAACTTAGTCCATTCAGAAGTTTGGTTTGTGTGTTTAATCAAGATGGAAATCCTTTAAATTTCATATAATAGCCACCTTCTACCATTATTTTTATCTTCCATCAGTCTATGCATGTTGGATATTGAAAATTTTCTCATTAAGATAAATATAAATTTAAAATATCTGGGTAAGGATCTGTACCTGACTTCAGAGATAGGATCACCCTTGCCCTTAGTGAGTCATGAGGTCCAGCTGGATAGGGTTCCTGACTGGGATATGGATGTTGAAACAGCTGTAGCAATTGGGTACTTCACCACAATGAAAGAACCTCGTGGTCGAGGTCATGACATAGCAAGTACACAGTTTCAATGGAGAAAAGATCTAGTTAGTGGTCAGCTTGGGAGAGGGTGGTCACCACCTGAGTTTACGTGACCAAAACCTTTTCTATGGCTAGATTTTATAATGAAAGCTCTCATATTGGCTCAGTCAGCATCTAGGATAAAAAGTATCACTCATTATGTTCTGATTCTTCAATACCTGAGATAATGATATGAGAAGACCCCCAACTGTGGTGGTGATTAGAACCAAGGTCACTCCATCAATCAAGCCACTAGGTATCTATGTTTTTGTTTTTTCTTTTATAAAAATGAAATTACGTGTGTACATTTCTCTTACTTAACACAAAAATTTTGATCAAGGAAAGGTCAGGAAATTTTAAGTCCACCAAATGGTAAGTATTTATTTAGATCAAAGAGGAGGTGGAGAATTGCACACAGAAATGGACAAACTCTGATCCAGACAGGAAAGGCAAACAGTAAATATTTATTTAGATCAAAAGAGAAGGTGGAGAATTGCACACAGAAATGTACAAACTTTGATCCAGACAGGGATGGCTGCACTGCTAGATCAGTAACTAAAGTGATACCGTGTATGTACACGTGAGGTTAGAGAGATGAGGTAAGGAATCTGAGAGGTTGATGGATATAGTATCTAGTATAGTGGAGAAATGTAAAATAAGAACAGTGGATTTGGTATCTCCAACATATGAATTGATAAATAAGCAGATAATGAAGGCATTAGTGTGAGTAAAATAAAGGAGCATAACACTGACTGAAGGTTTTTTTTGGCAACAGAAGAGATGTAATTTTAGAAGTAGAACCAGTTTTTATGATATACTTCTATGGGGAAGAATACTTGGATATGGTATAGGAGTGGATTCGGATCATTTCTTGGTCATGATAGAGGGATGCAAGTAAGAAGGAAGTTAAGAAAACCATTAAACAGGTGAGGAATGAGAATATATCAGGAGTTGATAATTTACTTGCAGAACTACTTAACTTTGGGGGGGATTTGAAAATGGACTAAGGGGAGTGATACAGGTTGTGTGAAGAACAGAAAAGAGTGCATGATTGAAGCAAGAATGTTATATCATTACACATGAAAGGTAACAGATAAGAATGCAATAATGCAAGAGGCACAAGTATGCTAAGCATAGCTGGCAAAATTTTCACAAGAGTACTTTTGAACAGAATGAGGAAGATTATGTAGAGAAAAATGGGAAGATGAAAAGTAATAATCATGGTTTGGAGCGGACAGAGGACAGAAATATGAGTTGGCATAAAATTTGTATATCTGCTTTGTTGGCCTGATACTAGTGGATAGTATAATACTTGTATGTTAGACACCCCCCATGTCGAACTTTGGTGAACTGATTATCCACATTATCTGGTAGACACCCCCCATGTCGAACTTTGGTGAACTGATTATCCACATTATCTGATAGACACCAAATACTTGGTTTGGAGAGTAGGACCGTGATGCTTGCTAACAAGTTCGGGAATGGCAACTAAAGTTGTATAATTTATTAAGAGTTTCTACTAAGGCATTAGAATATGTGTGAAGAGGATAGGAAAAAGATTGGACTGGTTTGAGATGAAGATGAGCATGAGGCGATGGTGAATCCTTTCACCATGCATACTTGATACTGTTCTTTACTACGTGTTGCACATGATGGACAAAGAAACCGAGCATGAGGCGATGGTGAATCCTTTCACCATGCATACTTGATACTGTTCTTGAGTACGTGTTGCACATGATGGACAAAGAAACCAAGCAAGAAGAAGGTGGAAGACATCATGCTCGAAGAATATGTAGGCAATGATGCATTGGTTGCAGTTTTTATCATGGCACAAATTCTCTTCTTGGTAAAGTCAGTGATAAAGCTGAGAAAACCAGCTTGAAAGTAAGTTTGGGAATAAGTGCACTAGCAGGAAATATGTTTAATAACTTGAGTAAAATGTTGTGGAAATGAAGAGATGGCAGTATAAAGACTAATATCATAATGTATAATGGTGCAATAAAACCAGTGGCATTGCATGAGGCAGGAAACTGGATATGGACAAAACAGCAGAAACAGAAATTGAATGTTTTGATGGAAGATGGATTTTAGGGATAAGTTGGAAAACGAGGATGACAAGGGAGGAGATAACAAGAATGACTGGACAAAGGATATTGACTGAAATGTTGGCGGAGCATTGTTTGACTTGGGCAGGATATGTGTGGAAGATGAAGAACAAAGGCTAACGAGAAAAGTAGAGAAATGGAAACTTGCATGGAAAGAGAGCAAGAGAAAGACCAAAAAGAAGATGGAAGGATGGCATAAGAGAGATAAAAGAAGGCTTGGAGGAGCAGCATGGAGAAGAGCAGAGAATGCAGTGACAAATTGACAGATGCATGTGACTGACTGACTGATTCACAGAAGGAAGAGTTATCCATATACCTGCATGTCTGTATGGTATCACAAGTTATTTTACAGAACTGAATGAACCAATAATAAATGCAATTTGACAGAAGATCTAAAGTAGTCAACACCCCTACACACCACCACCCCAAAGATTAGTGTAAACAGATATGTAATTGAACTGACTGCTTGAATTTGACAGCCTATTCAATTTCATCTTGTTAATTCCATGATTGAGAATTCATCTGAGGAAGGAAATCAGTTGCAAATTCATGAAACTAATGCCAAACAAAAGTGATATTTAATGCCATGCACAGCAAGGGTTCCTTTGCATTGAGTGTACAGCTCATGTGCTATGGCTCGGAACAGTGGAAAGGGGATGTCCATGCTCCCATTTTTAACATTACTTTTTGAGCTTGACATTGCCAGGTATCATTATAAGTTATAAATCTTTTACAAATGTACTTCTTTTTCTATAATTTAGAAATGTTTTATTAGTTTATATTTAGCATAGACATACTGTATAGATCCATTGGTTTTGTGACATCTCCTTCATAATTCTAAAAATAAAAATGTTATTATCTGACTTTATGATATAACAAGTAAAATAGAATTTGGCCATGACTTCCATAATGTTTTTTCTTTCTTTCTGAAAACTAAAACTACTACTAAAAATAAAAAGTCATTACATACTTTTTGTTTGATGTAAACTGTTTCTAGCAACAAATGACACCATGCATGACATGCTAACCAATCACATATGCTTGGTTCACAGAAAATTTCTGACCACCTGACAGTGCAAAGCTGCTAAGAATAGACTTATTGCTCGAGGCGTATATTACAGCCCTTTTCAAGGATGAAGTGGGTATAGGAAGATTATTAAATGATGTAGAACATTCAGTGTTTTCCATGAAAACACTAAGTTTTTCACGGGAGAGCGTGTAATACAGCACGGGGCTCCAAAGTGTATAGGGAACAATGCCATTATTGAGAAAGGTGGCTTAAGAAATTGGAATTAGAACAATCCCCTTTGACTAGATATTTCTTGAGTCACCAGAGACAGCTCCAGTTGTCTTTGGTTTACATAAATAGTCTTGAAAGCCAATATCCATCTATGTTAGAGGTTAGTGTAAAGTTTGTGATTTAAGATTTATCTAACCATCCTTCAAAAAAGAAATTGTGGCCATCAGATTTAAAACAATCAATGATGGAGTAAGTAATTCCAAAATCTGTTAACTTCCAAGATTGAATAATGTTTAGGACAAGTTGTAGAATGACTCCTTTTGGTCATTCTTATTTTAACTTGAGACGTCGCACAGGTATTATTTCATCTTCTTTTTAAGGAAATATTGACTTGCTAGGAGTAGCAACTATTTCTTTAACAGCTCCCAAACAGACATGTATTACGGAGAAATGTTGACTTGCTAGGAGTAGTAACTATTTCTTTAACAGCTCCCAAACAGACATGTATTACGGAGAAATGTTGACTTGCTAGGAGTAGTAACTATTTCTTTAATAGCTGCCAAACAAACAGTATTACGGAGAAATGTGACTTTGGAGTAAGTAATTCCAAAATCTGTTAACTTCCAAGATTGAATAATGTTTAGGACAAGTTGTAGAATGACTCCTTTTGGTCATTCTTATTTTAACTTGAGACGTCGCACAGGTATTATTTCATCTTCTTTTTAAGGAAATATTGACTTGCTAGGAGTAGCAACTATTTCTTTAACAGCTCCCAAACAGACATGTATTACGGAGAAATGTTGACTTGCTAGGAGTAGTAACTATTTCTTTAACAGCTCCCAAACAGACATGTATTACGGAGAAATGTTGACTTGCTAGGAGTAGTAGCTCCCAAACAGACACGTATTACGGAGAAATGTCGACTTGCTAGGAGTAGCAACTATTTCTTTAATAGCTTTAACAGACACGTATTACGGTGAAATGTTGACTTGCTAGGAGTAGTAACTATTTCTTTAATAGCTCCCAAACAAACACGTATTACGGAGAAATGTTGACTTGCTAGGAGTAGCAACTATTTCTTTAATAGCTTTAACAGACACGTATTACGGTGAAATGTTGACTTGCTAGGAGTAGTAACTATTTCTTTAATAGCTCCCAAACAAACACGTATTACGGAGAAATGTTGACTTGCTAGGAGTAGCAACTATTTCTTTAATAGCTCCAAACAGACACGTATTACGGAGAAATGTTGACTTGCTAGGAGTAGCAACTATTTCTTTAATAGCTTTAACAGACACGTATTACGGAGAAAT